ACAGAGAAGCAAGCCTCCATTTCAGTAGAATGCTCTATTGTCCAGAATACTGCACCTGGCTCCTTACAATGCCAATAAATTTCAGTCAATCGAACAATTTTTCACCTATGCAATCTAAAAAATAGTGATTTACTTTTAATTCTTATTTTGCATAACGTGATATCTTATTTAGTAAAAAAAATGAATGTGTTTTTTTTTTCTGTAGAGTGAAATAACTGTATATTTTGCAATAAAATTAAGATCTGAAAACCCAATGCATGGTCTTTGCTCTTCTTAATTCTTTGCATTGATGTTCCTTATTCATGTTGATGGAAAAACTTCATGTGAATTTCAGATACAAAAAAGTATTGTGACATATGAATAGCTGTTGTGAGATTAGCAGTTATTGTGAAACAAAACGTCTTTATGAAGAAATAGTTATAGATGAAATTTCTTTGGTTTGTTTGACTAGTTTGGTTTCAATACAAAATCAATCTTTTTGACTAGTACAAGTATAATATATGGTCCAAAGTTACTGACTGGTAATTGCAGCTGTGTAGTTGGATCAGTAGAACAGAATTCACTTAACAAAGATAGTACTTCGATGGTAAATGGATAGTATATTGCATATGTATAACTGTAAAATACAGACAAGGTAATTTTAAGCTTACAGAGAGATTTGTTTTTCACAGAGACTCAGATTTTACACTCTGTATCTCACTGGTGAGATGCACAGTGTCTTTCAGTTCTGTTTAAACTTTTAAGAGATAACTTATGTGGGCTTTAAAGTACCAAAGCTGGCCTTGATTGTTGGGTGCAGTCTTTGAACATAGTGTGTGAGAGATGTGTGCCTTGCTGAAGTAAGGACTTGCTTGCTTGATCACACATGATAAATGCAGGCTGCATGTCATGCCCCTTTCATTGATCGCGGTGTATAATTTGAGATAAAGAAGGAAACTAAACACTGTAAAAGAAATATTTGTCTTAGAAACGATGAACGAAGTGTTCATGTATTTGACATAAATGGAATTTCAGGAGTATAGAATAATGGAGGACACTGGCAATTCCTGTCTGACAGTGGTTGCATCAGTGTTTCAGAATCTTGTAGTGCAAAAAAACCTTGTACTGGATGAATTTGATATAGTCAGGCTGCAGAGGATGTTTCTGCCTATTTTTCTTGGCTTTGATTGTTTTGTTTTCTAAACTCCATGTAAATGTGATATCCACTGTTTGGAATGCCTTTTGACTCCTATGTACTACTGGTATGTGAAAGGAGGGAATATTTCCTTTTATTAAATGCCCCACTTCTTATTGTCACTGAATTGCAGATATTTGGTAGAAGGTGTAAGTTTGGTTTATCTTCCTTCTGTTGCCCTTTGTCCAGGTACATTTAAGTTTCTGCTTTTAATTGTTTTTCAACACTAGGATCTCTTCATTTTTTCAGTATCTCCTAATTCAGATACCTTACGTTTTTTTTTGGAAAGTTTTTATGAATCCATTCTTATGAAGACAGGTACTGGAATTTAGTGCTCCCAGTATCCCTTACTCCATTCTTCATCCATTCATCTGTCTGGTTCTTGTGTTTGCCATTCAGACTCCTTGCAGAATTTCAGGTCTTCCTGTAATTGTTATCTTTAGATTGGTCTGAGTAGTCTGAATTTGATTGTAACTTGAAAAAATCCAGTATGTATCATTTGATTAAGTCTTGTGAAACATATTTGTTGTCCGCCCCCTTGCACCTCTGGGATGGAGCAAATGTGTGCTGGATCACACCACCTCTCTGTGTTCATCGATGGTCTCATTTTCCTGGAGTAACCAGAAAAAGCAAATAATTTTTTAAAATATGGGAATGAAACTACAGTGTCCTTTTGGGCTTGTTTTATCCAAAATAATGACAAAGTGGACCTGTTCGCATCAAAACTTTTCTTGTACCTATTCAGGGTAAAATTTCCCTCAGGTATTGAGGGAAAACTGGAGAAAAAATAGCTTGGGAGACAACAACATCACCTGGTTATTCAGTTATTTTTTCGCATTGTACTGGATCTGGCTGGGATGGAGTTAAATTCCTTCATAGCTGCCTGTACAGAGCTGAGATTTGGATCTGTGGCTAAAACAATGTTGATAACACACTGGTGCCTTGATTGTTGCTGAACAGTGTTGCACAGTGTCCAGGTTTCCTTTTTCCCAGCTTCTCTGCTGTAGTGAGTGAGCATGGGGTGGGTGAGAGGCTGGGACAGCTGACCAGAAGTGGTCAAGGACACAGTCTATGTGATAAAATGTCACGCTCAGCAACAAAAACTGGAAGTAAAGGAAGAAGAATGGAGATGGAGGAGAGAACTTGGCTTCTACAGTAGCTGTTGCTTTGAGACTGAGCATCGGTCTGCTTGTGGAAGGCAGCGAGTCATTTACTTTGTGTCACCTCTTTGCTTCACCTGTTAGACTGCCTTTGCTCTGACGCATAAGTTTTCTCACTGTTTTTCTTCAATTTCCTCCCTTCCCTACTTGGGGAGGGGTGGTGAGCTGGCAGGTGGCTGCTGCTGGCTGGCAGCAACCGCTCACATATTTGAAATGTGATCGTAGAAACTCCAGTAGCATTCAAAACCTGGATTCTAGCAACATGATATTTGTCACAGGTCTGAATGAAAGCTTGTTTTTGAGGTTATATACCTGTTTGTTTTCACTTCTATAAAGCTGTTTGAGTTATGAAAGTTTAGAGGGCTTACTAGGCTGTTCTTTGAATTACTTCTGTTAAATTCTTCTAGTGTCCTCTTGGACTGAGCGGTATTCGAAGCATTCTTAAAATGTTTGACAGTGCTTCTTGTACTTTATTGGTCTTTAAGGGTGGTGGTGAAGCCTTTTCCATGTTGTCATGTATTAAAAAATAGAAGAAAAACCTCCATGGTTTTAGTACTGTTGTTTGTGGTCAAGAATGATGGCATGATCTGTGCTTATCTTTTGGTTAGTTCATACAGAGGGCAGTTTCTGTATCAATGGATAACTGTTATCAGGAAAAAAAAAAGGCAAATATTGATCTAACTTCACCCTTTCATATGCAATTTTAGTTCTTTCTTAAAGCTGTATAAAAATCTTCAAAGCATCTTTGGTCTGAGTCTTGAGCTCATCAAGATGTCTCATTATCTTTCTCTGGCAATAAAACAGTGGATCTCCTGAACATAGGCCTACTGTCATGATTGTGTATCAGCAAGGTTCATCTCAAGTCTAAGAAGTGATCCTAGGGGAAGAAAGGTCCATTTGAGACTGCCAGAAGCACTTGTTTTTCTTTCCTCTTTAGAGTCTCAGTAATAGGGGGCATCATGTTACCAACATTAGAATTGCTTAGAAAATTAATTTTCAGGTCATGATACAGTAGTCATATATACTTACCTCTTTCCTGAGAGACTGCCATTGCTGTGTTTCACATCAGGATATACAGGTTTTTAACACAGGGGTGTACAGCTGTCTGCATTGCCATGAGATGAGATTACTGCAGTTCTAAGAACTACCTACTGAGGAGTTCTACAGGTGTGCAACCATCCATCTGCTAAAGCGTGAAAAGCCCGTTATGTTAGCCCTAACCAGTTTCCTATCTTATTTTTCACTGTTGTTTGAGGTTACAGCACTATACTTGCAGAGCCCCAACAGCATTTCTGTAGCAGTTAGGGACATTGGCAGATGGAGCACAGGGAGATGCAAGGAAAACTTTCTGGATCAGGCGCTTGCTCCTGTCAAGGCATTGTGGAGATGTACCATAGTGTCAAGTTTTCCTCATTCATGTAGGATTAGTCCATCAGGATGTTACTTAGGTGCTCTTGGTGCTGTGCTTTTGGAGCCCAAACTGGGCCCTGCAGTATGTAGATAGACCTGGAAAAGAACTGGATTTCAGAAGCAGAAGCCTTCTGTAGGTGTATAGCAATCTAAAGGAATATAGAAATAATGTGCTGTTGTGCAGATCTGCATTTATGCGAGCAAGAATGTTTGAATAAGAAAGATGTTGGGTAGATTTTATTTGTTGCTGTCAGCAACAAGTTTTGGTTTATATATGCCTCAAAAGATGAATTTAGTTGTTTGTTTTCCAAATAAATGTGGTCTCATAGTCTTGACAAAAGCTTAAAGACTAAGATCGTCTTCAGGTTAAATATAGAAAAGAGAGAGCATGAATGCTGGGATATGTCAGACCAAATACACTGCACAAGTTTGCTGTTCTTCCTCTACCTTCCACTGCACTGTGTATTTTGCCTGATTGACACATTATGTATTATCAGGATGGAGTGAATTATTTATATGCTTGTCCACATACATAGAAGTGATAGCACTGTGACATTAATAGAAGTGAAAGTAATTAATTTTGCAGCTGATTGTTTTGATTCATTACTCTGAGAACATGTAAAGTATAATTCACATTGTATTATAAATTAGTGTTCAAGACTGTTTGCATTTGAAACATTGGCACAGATTAGAAAAGAGCTTCCTTTTGTACTCCAGGAATTTCCATGCTAACTTAAAAATCCTTATATTTAAAAACGTTACGTGTTTGTAGAAGCCATTGTAGTCCCTTTCCTTTTTCCTGCTGGGATTCACAGATGAGTGGTACTTGTAGTGTTTCATAATGTCTTTCTTCCCGAATTGAGGACTATGTATGAACCGAAATCATATTCGGCTGCTTAGTTCTGTTGCCAAGGGTCTTTCCTGTTAGACTTATAAATACATTTCTTAAATGTAAAATTTTTCATGACATGGAAGAAATAGCATGAACTCATCAGGCTTTGATGCGTAGCAGATAAACTTAGGAATTTATGAACATTTTGAATAAGAGCAAATGTTAAAGGATTATTTGACTGGGTATGTTTTGCTTAGTGTTAATGGTTTTATGTGCAGAACACAAATCAGTGGTATATTAACTGTGGACTTGCATTCTGTAATTCAGCCGTGGTCCACTTACAGTTCAGTTATTAGTTCATTGTATATCAGTGATCATTGAATTGTAACTGACTTAATCTTCTGCTTTTTATTCTTTAGTGCTGCAAGTCGATTGAATAAAGTTAAGGACATGGAATATAAAATGGATGCAGTTGCTCGAGCACCGTTTCTTCCAAAGTGCATATTCTGCAAATGAGTGGCCTGAATGATTGGTTGATAAGCAGCATATACAAGACTAATATCAAGAAAACACTGTGTCTGTTGCTGCTATGTTTGACGAAGCTGGTGCAGAGTCACGTCTGCTGAAATGCAGTTGAAAAAAATGAGGGAAATTTTACCAAAATTGTACCCTGGCCAAGTTAATGCTAAAAATAATTCCTTAACTACATCCCCAAAGCAATCTTCTGAGGATAAAACAAATCCATCAAAAGGGGGTGATGACCAGAACTGCTGTTATCAGGGGACTGAGGCTGAGAATACTAAATTTTCACTGATAAGCTGTATAAAATGCAGAAGTGTCCAGAAAATTTCAGTGCAAGATATAGAAACGCATAAGAAGCTTGGGTGGACTGAAGACAAAAATTTCATCTGCAAGAAGTGCAGTCATATTACACCACCAGCTTTCCATTTTGTTGCTGAGGGTGCCAAAACTGTAGACTTCGAAAAACATGAAAGAAAATCCCCAAGTAAAGCCCAGAAAGCATTTAAAGTTAAAAACTTTCTGCCAGGTAAATACTACTGTGATAAATGTAGATTTTCAACAAAGGATTCTCTACAATATAAAAAGCATGTAGGTCAACATGAAGAAATTAAATTTGTTTGTTCCCACTGTAAATATGTATCCTACACCAAAGGAGAATTCCAGAGACATTTGGTGAAGCACACTGGAACTTTTCCATATCAGTGTCAATACTGTGAATATGGGGCTGTTAGACACGACTATATAGTGAAACATACGAGAAGAGTCCATGAAACACCCACAAAACAGCTGTTGAATACTGCTACAAACCACGTGCAAAAGAAGCCAAGTCAAAGCACTTTATTTGAAAAGCGGAAATACAATAAAATTTCTTTTCAAAATCAACTTTCAAATTCAACTTCAAATATGGTTTGTGAGATTCCAGGTAAAGCACCTAAAACGGTCTCTTCGTCTCATGATGTAGAGTGTAGCATAAACACAGCATCGGTCCGGGATAAAACAGTATTGGAGGCATCTGAAGTAAGTGTCTCTGAGAATCAGAGTGTGGAAGTTGAAGTTTATTCTCCAAAAACGGAGCCTTTACAACCCGGGATGCCTTTAACAGTAATTGCACCATCTGAACTTGTAGTTCCTTCTAACTGTTTAGCTCAGATAGTAGAGATTAAAATTGTGAATGGAGCGCAGCAGCTGGTTCTTAAACTAATTCCTATGAAAGAAGCAACTTACAAACCTGTCAGTGGTGCTGAAGAGGAACCTGAGAATCAAGGTATAGAACGATTTGCAGAAGGAAGAAAAACGTCTTCTGTGTCTCAAAATGATTTACTAACCATGGAAGTGAATGTAGACAAGTTATCCAGTGTTAGTAACCAGCTTAATTTATCTAATACGTATGACAGGAATTCTGAATGTCTTTGTTTTTCTGATTCTCAGCCCTCAGACTGTAGCTCTGTGTCTATACAGAAAGAAGATGCATCAAAATTTTGCTTTCACTTGGTGAAAGGTATTGATGTCCATTCAGGTGTTATAGAACTTTGTTCTCCATCTCTGGTGATGAGTAGTACTGAAAAAAAAAGTGATCTTAAGTCCTCAGGGTGGGAACTAGATGGAAGAAATACCTTACACTATGACTTGTATTGTTATGAAGGTGTGGAGATACCCCCTCCAAAATATGCTGCTATTTCTGAGGACCAAAGTTCCAAGAACATTTCAGCAGAAGCTGTTGAAGAGGGCAGAGATTCTCCTGCAGCCCTTAAGCAAAAGAATACATTGTCTCTAACAAGGAGTGACAAAGAATGTAGGAATTTGCCAGTTGGCTCTGCGGAAACACATTTAGGTGATAAGGGATTCGATGATAAATGTGTTACATCTTCTGAAGAAGGAAAAAACTTTCACGTCACTGTAACTCCGCCTGGCAAAGATGCGACTTTTGGTGATATCAAAGTAAAGAGAGCTGAAACCGTAAGTCAAAAGAACAGTCGTCTTCTGGAATCTTTGGAACTACAGAAGATAGACAATAAAGGCAACCCTTCTGAGGGACCTGTCATTTCATCTGTATTTTCTCTTAGCTCTGGGGCTGAAAATGTTCCAGAGGGTGTCAGATGGGATGACAAGACACGCAGTAAGAAGTCAGCAACACTGCTGTGTAGGAAGATTGCTCAGCTCATGTCTGCTGCTGAATCTAACATGAAATCCATGCCTCTGAGATCTCAAGCTTCTAGTAAAAAGGTGCTTTTACCTCAAGAAAATTCAGCAAGCTGCAAGAGCATTGTTCCTGTTGCTGAAGTGGAACAGTCTCCATCTCTGTCTCACGTATCTGGTGGAAGCAGTGTGATCAGTAGCGAAGAACACAGTGAAGATCCATTGCTTACCTTTGCAAGAACATCTAAAAGCAGAATAACTAAAAATTCCCATGTTGCCACTCCAGTGTTTATACCCAAAGGGACAATGCTGAGAGTGCTGAATGCTAATACTAGCAGCCAAAACTCAAACGGAACGGAGAACGGGAGTGAAACATCAGCCCCTTCTGTGTGTTGCAATGAGATGTTTCTGCCTCGCCCTGTTCCTGTCAGTGTTACTGAGGAACTCAGCAGTAATGTGCCATGTTTGCCTAATCAAAGGGAACCGATTGCCGAGTCCCGAACGCTCAGACAAAGACCAAAGCGAGAGGCGAGTGTTAAAAATAATAGCAAACAAACTGGTGTGCCATTTCAGAAAAGCAGTGATGTGAGTAAGCAAAGCAAACCCCATTCAAAAGGTCAGCAAGGGTCCAGAAATCAGGCCAAGAAAGCAAGCTTCAGGGAACTTCCCAAGAGGAAAACAAGAACTCAGTCAGAAACCAGTTCAAGTTCTGACATGTCGTATCTGTTGACGGCAAGACGTCTTCGACTCGTCCCTTTCAGGGAGAATCAGTTGATAAAATGCCCTCGTCGCAACCAGCCAGTTGTGGTACTGAACCATCCTGATGTTGATTCGCAGGAGATTATTAATGTCATGAAGACTATCAACAAGTATAAAGGTCAAGTCCTGAAAGTAGTTCTGTCGGAAAGGACAAGTAGTTGTCTTGGTGTTAAACGTTATCGAAAGCGTCTTACTCTTCAGAATGCTGAGACGGGAAGCCAAGCAAAAAAGCCGAATGCCCTAAAAATGAAGCTAAAAAAGACCCATAAAAACAATTACCAGGTGGTGGAAACTTCACCAGCTGAAACACTTCCGTGTCTTTTTAAGTGTTGGTTTTGTGGAAGAGTATATATGGACCAAGAAGAATGGATAAGTCATGGACAGAGGCACTTGATAGAGGCAACCAAGGGCTGGGATGTTCTTTCTCTTCCAGCAAAAAAGCAGAAATTGAGAGACTAGGGGAGGTTTCCCCTCTTATTTTTTTGTGAGTGCCACTGTGTTGCTTGGAATGGAATACTGAAATAACTATTTTGCCAAAAGGTCTCTACGGTTAGCAAAGTGCAAGGTGAGAGCAAAGTAATAGGTATACAGAGAAGTTGATAGTGAGGATTAACTCACTTTGAGTGAGGATTAATTACTTTGCTCTCTGTTGTTTGAAAATTGTATTGGAGGTCAACTTCGTCTGTTCCACAGGAGAAATTTGAAAAAGTTTTTCTATGCAAACATCTTTCTGGTTACCGTTCTCTGTGCTAGGATGTTGTGCTGTTACTGGTTTGTGCTAGGTCTGTGTGGATTAAAATCTTGGACAGTGAGATCTTTGTAAATTTAACAGGGTTTAGTTTGTTTTATTACAACATAGCGTTTCAGAGCATACCTGTACTGAAAAGCACCTCTGATCCTCTGTGGACAGCAAGTGAATATCATGCATTTTAGTGGCAAATTAAGCACCACACATAAAGTAACAAATGCAAGTAGAGAAACACCATAGACAGTGTTTCAGAACACTGAATCGAATGCTTCTGCTGACTTCAGAGGGGATACAAGGGTGTGAAAGAAGAATCTCTGGGATCAGAGTTACTCCCGCTAGCTTGGATAGCCCTGAGTTTTGTTTAGTTCTTAGCCTTTACCTACCCTGTATTGTGTAGATGTGAGGGAGCAGAACACTCAGGTTTCTGTACCATCCTTGTTCTGAAAAGGCAGAGCCGAATGTACTGTCAGGCTTGGACTGAAACTAGAGAGCAGCTTTTCTCTCTATGGTCTCAAGGCTATTCTGCAACCTAAAAGCAATAGCCAAACAGAAGCCCTCTGCCACCCTGTGTGTGTAGCCTGATAGAAACACGTTTGCAGGACCAGGCGTTTGGTGAGAACTCCAGCTGGTGAGTTAATGCTTATTTATGGAGGGAACTTGCTGAAGATGAAAACTTTTCAAAAACGAAGAGTGAAAAACCATGTTGCACAACTTCTCCAGTGACAGCATTGAGCCAGGTTTTCAGTGCAGTCTTTTGTCCTCCTTAATCTTTAGAATTTAGATGTTAGAATATATTTTTTGTAGGCCTCAATTCATACAAGCGTGTGCCTGGTTATATGTGTATGTCTAACATGTACCTTCTGACTTCAGTGCAGTGTCAACAAGCTCAGTTGCTTCAACACTTTCGTAAATCAGGGCCAAATTTCGAGTTTTTAGCCAAGAAGAGTGATGGATGATGCTGAAGTCTTAATGTTTCTGTACATGAACAATAGATGTTTTTCTTCATCTTGTCAGTTCTAAATAATGTTGAAATCATACAGAATGAACTATATAGAAGCACATATTTAGAATTAAAAACACTTCCTACATTTTTACAGATACTGACTGATGCTGGATGTGTGTTTTTTTGTCTGAAATGGGACTCGCTGTTGAAAAACTGGTAGTCCTGAACTCTTTTCACTGTTGCATTTTTGTAAACATTTTTAAGCTGGGAATATTTTTTTTTATATACTTCAACAGATTATACATTGTTTTGATAAAGTATGTATTGTATCTGCATTAGAATGTAAATATTTTAGAACTGTATTTGACTGAGGCTTATTTTCAAAACCAGTTAAAACATTACTTTTCCATCAATTTGCAATATAGTGTTAAAATCCTTCAGATAGCTGGTGCTTTAAGTCAGGTCGTTTTCATCATATACATGTGGAAATTTTTTGTATCGTTTGTATCAAGCTAACCCGTTCCACAGAACAAACTTCCTTTTGTCTGATTTGTCAATAATAATGACAGTTCTCATTTTGTATTCAGATGGAATTATATTTTTTTAGATGGGTACACTAGAGGGTTTTTTCACTTCATATACTTTGATGCCAAACCTAGCAGTACTGTTTGCATTTTTGATTGTGAAAACAGCTTCCATTTTAAAATTCTGGCATATCCCATATAATAAAAGTTTACATTGTTAATATAAGAAAAAAATTGGGTAAAATTCTTCCTTTGTTTAAACTCCTTCAGTCCAGGTTCCTGTTTAAATTAATTTTGTTTCTGTAGAAGCTACTGAATGAATAGTTCTGAATTTGCTCTGTAAGAGCATTCCTCCTGAAAGCTGTACTGGGCAGAGTGGGGAAAAAGTGTTGCTGCTCAGCTTTATAAACTCAAGGTGGCTTAAATATACTAGTGATGCTTCCCTTTTGTAAGCAAATTTGCTGGTTTAGTAAACATCTACAAAGCTTGATATGTCACTGTCATAATCTGCTATCTAAATTCTTAAACTGTGGGGATTTTCATGGGTTTAATTTAAACTTTTTTTAACATCAAAGCCTGTTGTAAGCTGAATTGTATAGCGCCTACGAACTCTTGAAGCAGATTTTGTCATGCCTCTTCTTTTTTTTTTTTATGAGCCCTGCCAAACTCTACTTAGCAGCTCGCGTTTTGTTAATTTACGTTTTTAGGTAATGTCATGTCAGAATAATTTCCTTCAAGTTTAATAGTCTCAGTGGTTTGAGAGAAGTAATTAAAATGAATATTCTCTTGCATCTTGATGCAACATTGAGAAATAGAAAGGGTTGCAAGGAAGTAACAACCAACTGATAAATTTTTTTTAGAGCTGGTTTGTGTCACTACATACTGTGTGATTAATTGGGTTGGAATGTTGTGTTTTGAGCTTGAACGTTTTTTCCTCCCATTCCTACTCTGTAAGGATAAACTAACTGAGCTTGCCTACTTGGTGTATTCCGGTTACCTAGTCCAACTTCTGAGTGTGCTTGGAGAGTAAGTTTATGGATGCTTTGCAGAAAAATGCTCAAGTTTGCCTTTTCTTTTTATAATGAATTTAGCTAAGCCTTCCAAACCTCAGATTTTATGAATAAATATTACTGGTTTTTTTGCTGGAAAAATACCACCTTCTTGTCTTCTTTGATACACACTGGAACATGTTTTCTTGCTGAGTTTGAAGCACTTCTGCTGTTACTGCTGCTGATTTTTATCTCTATTTGCACGTGATATGAATTCAAAGACATTGTTTGTGTAATGGCCCTGTTATGTAATTTTTTGAAGGCTCTGATATGGAATACAAGTATCTGCTACTTAATCTAAAGAATAAGTGTTAGTTAATAGAATTTGCATAATTAAAGCTAGTTTTATAATCTGCTCCAATGTCTGTGAGCATCAGCTGATGTCCATCAGTGACTGCTGAGCACAGCTTGTCATTGTGCAAACACATACACACATCAAATGGAATTGTTAACCAGCGAGTACTTGGATGAATAGGATTTCATGTGTATTTTTCAAAGCAAGTTTTTTTTTTTTTTTTTTACATATGACTGTAGTATGCTTTATTAGGTTTTGCTACTGACTGAGCTTCATTAACATTTAGGCAAGCAAGATTGAGTTTGGCTTTCGTCTTGTGTTAGAAGATAGTGAGCAAGCTGAGCAAATTGCTCAATCGTTGTCAAGATATCCAGGAGTCAGTCTCTCTTAACGCTTTTCTGTGAATTAATACAATGGCATATACTTTACCTCTATCCTCATATGAAAAATGAATTATAAAAATAAAAAAATGGGAGTGGATCAGTAGTCTCAGCTGGAGAGAAACTTTTAAGAATGCTTCATAGTATTATGAGGAGCTCCTCATGTGAAGGCTAATCTGATTTTTTAGACAAATAATTGTTCTGTTTACACATATATGAACAAATTGGTGAAGTTAAGGCAGAAGACATTTTTTGCGCAACTGAAATGGATATGTAAGGTAGCATTGTTCTCTCTGAATTCCTGATTTATCCTTTCCATCAATGAGTGTGATGGGAACATATTTGTGGAAGTCAATGATCTCTTTCACAGAATTAAATTTCTGGGGGAAAAAAGAAAAATTGTTATCAGTGACTGAAAATGAAATTGCTATATGGTTTTCTCTATAACATTAGAAGTCTTGCAAATGACACTATTAGAAATAGGTAATATTTTGCATAGAATTATGATTAGATTAGATAGAAGCACTCATAAAAGGAAAGGCACCAGATTTTAATCCTCTTATTTCCTTTATGTCTCTCTGTCTTGGGTAGGAGAAAGCAGCTGGCTGCTTAGGGAAAAAGGGGAGCATGTCTAAGCGCTGATAATTCAATATCACCTGTAAAGGTATGTGATGATAGATTTTGAAATGCCGAAGCAACTATAAATCATTGCTAACTTTACCCTGTCAAAAGTTACACGTAATTAGCAGTATGTGATGCTTTATGCTGCAAGTTCCTTTGTATCTTTTTAAATGTATCTTTTATTTTCTCATTCAGTTTACCAAGAGAGTGGCTGTAAAACCCCTTTAAAGTATGGAACAAGAAGGGTCTCAGCAGGGTTTTAGTCTTGTTTTCTGGTGTCGAAAGCAATGCCATCCACCAAGCTCATTTTTGAAATGATAAAGGTGTGGTTCAAGGTTCCTGAACTGATCAAACGGCAACAGAAAACCATCCAAGGTGTTTATTCCTATCTGTCCTGATGGGAGTCTTAATCCTGCTATTCCAACAGTTAGCAGTCCTTCAGTTTAAACAGTTTTCTTCCTTGTGTGCAACTTCTAAGCTCTCATCACACCACTGTTTCTTCTCTGGAGCTATTCTTTGGACTCACTGGTATTTAGCCATGCTCTAAACTTCTGTGTAGAACAGGAACTGAGCTGAAGAGAAGCCTCCTTCTGCCTTTGATTTTTAGCTGTGGCATTGTTAGTTGAGCCTGATGCTGCTGCTGAAAATATGATTTGGTGTGTGGCAGATCTAGTTTTGTAAAAGAGATAAGGAAAATATGAGTTTTGTTATACTCAGGTTTAAATGTGGAAAAGGTTTTGATTTCTTTATGTTCAAAAGAACTATGTACATGAAAAGAAGCAGTGTTACAGATATTTCTGGATCTTTAATACTGAAAACTGACTCGAGTAGAGGAAGGCGACAGCCAAGTAAAAAGGATGATCAGAACAGCAGTTTCAAGTGTAAATGCCTAAATTCTC